CAATTTGTCGAATCCTTGCTTTTCATCGTTTACCTGGACTTTTTGGCATCACCTGTCAGTTCACCATCCGCTGGTTGGCCTTGGACTCTTTACGCCAGCCCCCGTGCCACCCCGAATTCCATCTTTTCCACAGCATTCTTGAGTGTCTAACGGTGTTGAGAGACACTCCCCTGCCCTAGCGCCCCGCCGCCCCAAACCCACCAAGTGACCAGCTTCGACAACGTATGTCGTAGGGCCGATCTTTTCCCTTTTCTTCGACGCAGCCCGCTCCCGGGTGCTCTTAACGTTGCCATTCTGCTGTTTCCCACCTGTTCTCGGCCATTCTCGCATTTATTCACAACTACACCAAAATTCAACACCAATATACCGGCCCTCACGACCGTCAACACCACCGTCGAAATCAACACAGCATCATCGTAGATACCCCCAATACGATTTTTTTGTGTGATCTCGACGACACCCAGCCTTCAACGTCCCCCTTGAGTCTGCTTGCATCACACTGCAAACGCGCCGTTGTCTTACATTGTCATCGAAACCGAGAGCCAACTACTTGCTTGCCGACGGCTAGAACAGCTTGTTACGAAACGAACCTCGTTACTGCGCCGGTGCTCAACCCCAGATACCGACGACAGACATATCTGTATTCGACAGGCGATAATCCCTGTGAGCTATGAATTAGCAGGTGCCTCTCCTTCACCCGTCTCCGCCACTCGCGTGGCAAGGCGTTTCGTCGTACACGACATCGACACGACACTATGGACAACGGAAAGAAAACTCGAAGACGGCGCATGGAAGCGCCCGGTTTCGACATGACTGGTCACGGGAGACAAAACCCAAGCGATCCACCTATTCCTCACCCTCTCCGTCAATCGTCCTCCGCATCACAGAACAATAACAGTACACCACACACACAACAACAGCCAGAGCGTGGAAACTCACGACGTGGCCCATCTCGCAATGATGGAACGGCCGTGGCGAGTGCCGACAACTCGCACGATGGATCCCCAGCAGGACAGCAACGGCCCAAGAATCCAAATCGGAAAAGCGACGCTTCCGGCAACAGTGGTACATCCATAATGACCGACGCAAAGAAGTGGTTTGACAACTCCAACAACAACCCAACCGCCACGTTTGAGGCCAGCCCTCCTGATGGTAAGAGTGACATACATATATTCCCACGGCCCTCTTGCCGTGTCTTTCGCGACTGACGAGGTTTTTTTTGCTTTTTCGGTAGGATCCTATTTTGGAAAGCGAGAATCATCAAGCGACGACGCGAACCCCGACCTTCCACTCATGTCACCACAACTTGCACCCCCATTCGTTTCGCCCGAGGCCTCATTTCTCCCGGCCACCCTCATCCATGCGACCACGCGGAGCAGCAGCTCGGAAGACTACCGGAGCGTTATCGACGACCTGACCATTGAAAACAAGCGTCTCAAGGAACAGCTCAAACGGTACCAGCAAAATGCGAACCGGGATGTGCTCGAAAACGAAAAGCTCTTCGAAATTAAAATGCACGGCTTGCCGCGCCGTAAGAAGCAGGAGCTGGAGGCCACGCTTCGCGATTTTGCTGCCGGTCTTGCCGACAGCACATCCAACGACTCCTCATCAAGGCTCCATCGGGACAAGTCTTCCTCCTCCAAAGACCACTCCCAGCAGGCGCACAAGCACCACCACCATCACCACCACAACGGCTCCGCACTCTATTCATTGAGTGGCTCGCGGTCCAAGAATGCTTCGAACTCGTCATCGCGCTCGCGGCCTGTCGACTCGGCCTATGCCTCCATGTCAATGGGCGGCCATTCCGCCGGCACGTCCTTGACCCGGCCTCCGTATGGAGACACCAAGGCTCGCACGTCGTCTGAGCAGAAGGTTGAGCGCTACCTCAAGGATATCCCGGAGGGCCTCTATCCACAGTACAGCTTCAACGGCCTCGGTGACAATGAGAAGAAGAAGCTGATTGTGCGACGTCTGGAGCAGCTCTTCACCGGTAAGATTGGTGGCCGGTATTCTCGCCAGGCACGTTTCGCCGTGCCTGAATCGGCCAACGTTCGAGGCACAACCTCCGTTACGGCTGCTGCAGACGAGAGGTCCACAAAAAGTGCCGACGCCCGGAAGAGCAGCAGTCGCAGTGGTACCAGTGGCGATAGCGGCAGTACCCCAGCTGCGAACATGGTCTCAGATGCCTCTATGCCTGCTGTTTCTGGTACTGTTGCCGTAAATGTACCGGTTTTGACGTCGCAGGACAGCTTGGAGCCTGTACGTGAAGCACGCATCCAGTCTCGGAGCTCCGGCCACAAACAATCCAAGTCCCATGACAATGGATCGGCTTCCAACTCCCACTCCAACGGTGATGAATCAGGCAACGGAAATGGCAACGGCAGCGGCAGCGGCCACGGCAATGTCCCTTCTCACAGTGCGACGTCCAGCGGCAATGGCAACGGAAAGCACGTCGCATCGTCCGTACCCGACCAGCGCCCAACACGACCCCTTGACTTGGACCCTGACAGAGTCCAAGTTCCCGCGGACAACATGGAGTACATCCGTCACCTTGGCCTAGTTCCGCCCGAAATTGGCCCCCAGAGTGTGTCCAACAAGATTGACGTGTCTCCTGACGCCGACGGCTGGGTCTACCTGAATCTGTTGGCCAACCTGGCGCAGCTGCATATTCTCAACGTGGCGCCCGATTTCATTCGGCAGGCTGTTGTTGAGAAGAGCACAAAATTTCAGCTCTCGCCCGACGGACAAAAAATTCGTTGGCGTGGTGGCATGGACGGAACCAAGTTTAGCAGTGACAGCGGCAGCTCGGGTGACCGGTCGCAACATAGCCAGTCTACTGACGCGGACGATGGCTCTGACGAGACTGGCCAGCGGAAACGGGCCAAGACATCCGAGAATAACTCGGCATCAGCACAGTCAAGCAGCAAAAAGCAGTCCAAGGCGGGTCTGCAAGACTCGAATGCCTCGTCCAGCTTCCACTATAAGCCCCTGTTCGTTCATCAGAACTCCAGTCCGCTGGTGACCTCTGGGGAAGAAATGTCGTCGCAAGATTCCGACCTGCCCGAGGCCATACGCAAGCACGGCAGCCGTGTAGCGCAGAGCAACACGAAGAGCCGCAATCGGCACGATGCTAAGAGCAAAACAAAGAGCAGCAGCATTTCCAACAGCAATGGCAATAGCAATACCAACATGGACGCCTCCCGACATGACAGCAGCCGCTCGGGGTCTTCCAAACCCGGCACAAAGCGGAAGACGGACGGCGTCATTGTGTACTACAGCGGTATGCCGTTCTGCACTGATCTTGCTGGAGATAGTACCGGCGAGGCGAGTCCCACGACCAACGAGACATCGACTCTGCAAACGCAGGATTCGATGGACGCTGCCTTGCAAGGCCGGCCAACCGTGCACCGTTCCTCGTCAGGTTCCTACATCCCTTTCCGCCCTCTCACGGACTACATGAGCCTTTCGATGGAGGAGTGGGCCGGTCTGGGCCTTTTGGGCATTGGCACGGTGGGACGGAATGAGCCTGCGGCGAGCGTCAACGACAACATGAGCAGTTCGGACAGCTTCATCAGCAACACAAGCAACCAGGACGGACGTAACGACGACCTCATGGTGCTAGACTACAGTTCCGAAACCGACGCAACATCGGTTGATACAGAGGAGCCGCTCCTTGAAGCGTCCGGTATCAACCGGGTGTTTCCTGAAGACCACTTTGCACTACGGGTTACGACAGAGCGGCCGTTTGACCCAAAAGGCTATATCAATGCTTGCGAGGACGATGATGTCGACGTTGACGACAGCGTCCAGAACAGCGCTTCCAACCCCAGAGACAGAGACTCGTTCTCAATGGCCTCACTAGCGAACCGGGTTGCCTCCTTAAAGCAGCAGACTCCGCCAGTGTCGGCTGCAGTGACAATGAAGAATAAGGCGCCATCTGTGGTCATCAATTACGTATCGGCGATTTACCAAAAACGAAAGCCGGCCGAGCTGCCACGTCCTGCCATGTTCTATCCTCCATTCAGCTCGACATCTGAGTCTGAAGAGGATGAGGACCTGCTGGACTCAGAAGGTGGCGAAGACGAGGACGAGAGCTTGCTGGCGTCATCGTCTGTCATTTCACGACGTGCCAACCCGCACTACTCAGTCAACAACGCTTCGCTCGCTTCCCACGCCGTGATGTCGTCGGGCGAAGATGGCGATGTGGAGGCTGACGGGTCTCGAGAGACCATGGAGCTAGAAGACAGCATCTGAATACAGCAGAAAACAGAAACCAAGACAAGCGACACTTCGAAACTGAGTTATGGCCCGCAACGATGACATGATTGCCCTCCCTTTTTCATTCATTTTGTTCTCCATTTCTATTTCTTTCTACCTTTCTTCTTATCATTTCTTCATCTGTTTGGGTTTGGATGTACCTGTCGAATATTATGGAAAGTGATACCTCTCTGTTTTTTTTGTTGCATGACCTGGATAAAATGGACAAAAGGAATTTTGAATTTTATGATATTTTATGATACTTTTGCTAAGGACCAAAGGATGTTCAATGCACTGCATAGGTTTCATTGTAAATTTCCCATAAAAAGAAGTTTTTCAATTTGAGATACGGAAACAAAAGCTAGTACGTGTGAACCTGTAGTGAATTACAACTTTGCATAGTCATGTTTTTGTAAAAAGGTTGATAAATGAACAGTGACACTGGCGGCCAGCTGGATGACATAGTGCAAAAATACTGCCTTTCGTCACCGCCAAGCATTGGTGCTTCTTGTATTGGCCCAGCGGGCAGGAGTGCAAAGTGGTGGGAGGGGTTGTGAGCTTTGGAGCTTTGGAGCTTTTGCAACAGGCACGAACCTCTAGGCGCATGCGAGCAGGACAGCGGCGTGCGTTCCTGAATTACCGACATCTTCCTTGCTGCCCACACCGCCGACAACAATAGCGAGACGGGAGAGACTCGTACCTCTTTCAATTGCCTTTTCTTCTCCCCTCCTCTCTGGGCCACCATGGCGACACCTAGCAGCAGCAAGGCCGTGGCAACGTAAGGGCAGCGAACGATGATTTGTTCACCCGGCACTCCCTTACTCTGTCGGCACGTTGGATACGAATGTTGACCTATTGACCTGTATTTATCTCCAGGCCCGACCCCAAAGATGTCCATACGAACCCGCGCGGCATTCCCCAGGCACCGTTTGTCGACAAAGTCGAGGACTATGTGACGTCGCGTGAGGACGTCGAACCAACGCTGCGGCGGTTCCAGGAGATGATCTCGAAATACCAGTTCATGGAATCCAACCTGCAGCGTCGGGTGAGCGGCCTCGACGAGAAGTTGCCCGACATCCAAAAGACGCTCGACACGGTGCGGTTCCTGCAGACACGGAGGCCAGGCGCAAAGAAGAGCGCAGGCGACAATGACGACGATGAGCTGGCGAGCGACGACGACGACGACGACGACGAAAACGACGAGGGCGCGGCCATCGAGACGACGTTTGAGCTCAACGACACGCTCTACGCCAAGGCCACGATCCCGCCGACGGACGAGGTGCATCTTTGGCTCGGAGTGAGTGAACCACGGCGGCCATGCAAAGCAGAGGCAACAAGGGCCACAAACAAATCCGGACCATCTTTCTAACTGGGGCACAGGCCAACGTGATGTTGTCGTATCCAATCGACGAGGCCCAGGCGCTGCTGGAGCAGAAGCTTACGTCGGCGCAGACGACCCGACGCAACTGCGAGGAGGACCTTGAGTTTCTGCGGGAACAGATCACGGTGCGTTGCTCCCTCCCGCAGCGGTATTCAGCCCCTGCTAACTATATCCTACAGACAATGGAGGTCGCTATTGCGCGGGTGTACAACTGGGACGTGGTGCAGAAGCGCAAGGAGAAGACGGAGGCCGAGTCGGCCAAAGGCAGCAGTAGCAAGGGCGGCGCCGACGAGCCGGATGGCTAGACGACGGCAGAGAGGCGAGGACGTACATTGGTATGTAAAGTTAAAACGGAGAAAATATACCAGCATTGTGTGTTGATCAAGAGAGAGTAACTCATCAAAATGATGCCAGAGTAACATAAAATGCAGTCACAATGAAGCCCACGAAATAACAGCATCCCTCTGAATTTGCAGCTGTCAAAAAGGTCAAAGAGAACTTGAAAGCCCGGTTCTACCATGGCACCCCCAAACAATACGCCGCATGTCTTTGTTGATTCACAGTTTTTTAATCCGTTCTCATGAAGCCCCTTTCTGAAAAGCCAACTGAGTAATAATTTTACGAGTGGTGTTGAAATTACAGGCCGCGCACAACTGTACGGCAAGGTCGAACGCGCCACTTGATGGAGCTGTCCTGGGTGCTTTCAGGCCGATCTGCCCTGTCGCCCTCGCTGCGCCCCCTTTTCTAGCGCCCTATTCCAAACTAGCAAGTGCCCTGTCAAAGGCGGGCTGGGCGTTGCCTAGAACCGGCTTTTTGCTCCTTCCCCTCACGGGATTGGAGGCGCTGTACGACGTAGTCTTTTTGCACTGCATTGCGAGAACTGCCCAATGGTTTTGCAACTTCAGGGCGTGTGGAGCAGGAAGGAGCTGTCAACCGTCTCGCTTCAGAGGGGTTCTTCGTCATCACCCAGCTGTTTACTCATTCTGCATTGAGACTTGACAAGTGAATTGCTGTTCTGTGCTGTTTCCAGTAGACCGCACCAGGCTGCTTTAGTCAATTAACACGGCGCAGTTGGCAATCCAGTTTTATCAGGACTTTGTAGCAGCCCTTTCGCCGCCAATTGCCAACCCTTGCTCCTTCCTCTGACGCAGTGATCTCTTTCTCTCCGCCCCCCGCCGCCACTTGTACCTACCATCTAAATAAACTGGGCCCCAACAGAAAAAGGGAAAACGCAGAACTTGAGATTTAATAGAGTTCGCCAATGGTGACGACCGCCTTTTCCGTTCTTCCCCTTCTTTTCAAAGGCTCCAGGTTCTTGCCGCATATCTACCTCCTTCCTCCTGCACCCCCCTCCACGTTGCTTCCTTTCCTCTTTCTCGACGAAAGAACGTGCGATCCTCCTCTCCTTCTCTGCACCTCCAACCCTATCCCACCAAACCAGACACCGCACCACAGCCACTACAATGGCGGACGCAGCAGCAAACGGCGGCATGGAGCTCGATCCCAAGTACGACAACTATGACTTCCCCATTGTGTCGCCGTCCGACATCAGCGGCCACCCGGGCCACCTGACGGCCGAGCAGCAGGCCCAGGTGCACCAGCTGCGCCTGATGCTGGAGGCCAAGGGCTTCACGAAGCGGCTAGACACGCTGACACTGGTGCGTTCGTTGTTTTGCAGCACAAACCCGGCCACGGCGAATGCAGCGTCCTTGGCATTTGTCGATGTGGGATGGAATACTGATGATTTGTGCTTCTTTATAGCTCCGCTTCCTGCGTGCGCGCAAGTTCGATGTCAACCTGTCTCTGCAGATGTATGTGGCTACTGGAGAACCAGAGCAGGTTTTGCGTCAAGACACGCTCTGGGAGCACAGCTAACAGATATAAAATTGCAGGTTTGTCGACTGTGAGGAGTGGCGGCAAAAGACAGGTCTCGATGACCTCGTGGCCACCTGGGAGTACCCCGAGAAGGAGAAGATCTTTGAGTACTACCCGCAGTACTACCACAAGACGGACCGGGTAGGTTTCTGTGTTGTCCCGTTGTCGTTCACCATCCATGCACCCCCAAACTACTAACACTGCTTCTTCCGCCCCTCCAGGATGGCCGCCCTGTCTACATCGAGGCCCTCGGCAACATTGATCTCACTGCTATGTACAAGATTACCACCTCCGAGCGCATGCTGACCAACCTTGCCGTCGAGTACGAGCGCCTCGCCGACCCTCGCCTCCCTGCCTGCTCGCGCAAGGCCGGCCATCTGCTCGAAACCTGCTGCACCATCATGGACATGAAGGGCGTCGGTATCTCTCGCGCGCCCCAGGTCTACTCTTACATCAAGCAGGCCTCCGCCATGTCCCAGAACTACTACCCCGAGCGCCTTGGCCGTTTCTACCTGCTGAACGCTCCCTGGGGCTTCTCGACCGTCTGGGGCATCATCAAGGGCTGGCTCGACCCGGTCACCGTCGCCAAGATCCACATTCTCGGCAGCTCCTACCAGAAGGAGCTGTTCCAGCAGGTCGCCCCCGAGAACCTCCCCAAGCAGTTCGGCGGCTCTTGCGAGTGCGAGGGCGGCTGTGGTTTCTCCGACATGGGCCCCTGGCGTGAGGCTGAGTGGTACAGGCCCGCTTCGTGGGAGAAGAAGGAGAGCGACGCCCCTGCTGCTGCTTCTGCTGGCGCCGCCGCTGCACCAGCGGCCCCCGAGGCAACAGCGACCGAAGACATCAAGCTGGAGGCCCCCGGTGCCAGCGCGGAGCAGGCCGCTGGCGCCAAGGAGCCGGCTGCCGCTTAGGTGCGGCCGCCGACGGACTCTCTATTGAATAGGGCGAGGATGAAGGCGAAGTCGAGCTGGGGACGAGCTAAGGGACGGCGAGTGGCGTGATGATTATCTTTTATCTTTTTAACATTTGCGAGATTTGTTTTTGTGTTGTTGGTGATTAAAGTCCTTTTGTACAGTCTCATTTTCTCGCTTTCTTCCTCCACACCCCGGCCGTATTGTCAGTCTATATTCGAGAAAAGGCCTTTCTGGCCTCATTTCAAGATTCTGGTTAGACACATAAAAAAAGAATACACGTTTATATTTTGATTTCGGAAGAATTTTGTCCAAATAAAATTATATGCCCATTGGTTGTGGTATCGTAACATTCGTAATAAAAGCAAACCCCCAAAGAAACACCCATGCAGCCGTCCAACCCATCGATATATATATATATACACATGTAGATACTCTTCCCTCCCTTCCCCTCGGCGGATCACCGTTCTGCTACAGCATAATCACTGGCGATGCGTGCACGCTCCATACGCGCCACTGTCGCCGGCATTGCCTGCTTTAACCGGCCCAAACCAGCCACAGCTTGTGAAAAGGACTCTGCGTTCGATGCCGTCGTGTTGTTCGCCGCCTCGGCTTCTGCTTCTTCCCGAGCGGCAGCAGCAGCCTCGTCTTGTTGCTGCTGCAGAACTTCTTGCAGCGCCGCCGCGGCCGCGTCGTCGGCCGCCAGCTGCCGTGCCAGCGCTTGCTCGCGAGCACGCACCGCCGCGGCGGGCACGCGCCGTTTCAGCAGCGCAATGTCCCGCAACAGGTCTTCCTCGTCGCGCGACAGGTCTTCGACGCGCTGCCGTTTGCGGGTGTCGAATGGCTCGGTCTCCTCGACAGGTGCCTGGTTCTTCTTGCCCTTCTTGCCCTTCTTGGACTTGGAACCGGCTGCCGATTCGTCGTCGTCATCGTCGTCATCGTCGTCATCGTCCCAAAAGGGCGCCGGGTCGACGGGCAGGCCGTTGATTGTGAGGTTGGGCGCCGCGAGTGCAAACGCTCGACGGATGTACTGGTTCAACGTTAGCGGGTGCCAACAAAAAAACGTGTAGTATCGATAAAATGATCCGCCACAACAAAGCTACACACCTCATTCACCAAAACCTCGACGCGCGCGTGTAGGTCGTCGCCTTCGTCGACACGCTTCTTCTTTTTTCCGTTCTTGCCGTTCTTCTTGTCATTGTCGTCATCGTTGGCAACAGGCGGAAACGCGGCTGCGACACTATCGGCGGCAGCGCGGCGGACATTGTCGACGAGATAGGCAAAGTCTTCGGGTGCTTGCAGCTCAATTTTGCGGTGATGTGAAGCCTCCATTATGTGAGCATGTACGTCGGCATGTGCGTGTGCATCGGAGGAAGTGGTGAGCACTTTTGTTGGAAGGCGAATGGTCGATGCTCGCAATGGTCGCCAAATCCGCTGCGTACTACTAAACAACTGGGACTTGAACGCGCTGGCGCGTGTTTACAACTGACATTCTAATTGGCATTATCTTGTTTGTTGCTTATCGACCCACTTTCCTGATATGTACTTATCCAAATGCGGGGTGAATCGTTTTGGCTTGGCGTATGAGTGTTACAACAGTGGTCTGCCGAGGGGACCTGGTTCTGGGCCGCTAATTGGCTGTCTCATTCTCTTGCACCTCAAAAGTCAATATTGACATTGCGTCAAATCCGTATGCTAATTATCTTTGCCAAAATATAACATGAAAATTCACTGTGATTGGGTCCTTTTCTGCCTGTGCCGTGGATTGGCGCACAGCATACCCCATTCTCTTTTGTCTCCAGTTCTGAAGGCGACCGGGCCTCGACCACCTTTGCCAGCCTCCATGACCAACACTACATCGCTTTCCATGATCATACGTAGGCGGTGTTAACCAGTGACCACTGTGTGATCTATTAACTCCTGCTGAAGTCTACATCAGCCTGTCTGTCTCTCCGTAAACATTGCAGCTTCTTCTAGACTTATGTGAAAGATTAAAGTTTTATCGTAGAATGAAAGTTGCTGCTGGTGATTCTTTGCAGATTGTGGGGATTGCATCCCCTCTTGTGGACGTTGCTGCTACTGCCGCTGCTGCTGCTAGCCTGGACGGTATCTTTACGTTCTCGGGTACACACCTTAAAATACTATGGAAAAGAAGCCAGGCGTGTTGTCAGGACCGAGGGGTGCCATATGTCTTGCGTAGGAGGCCCAGGTTTGTCTGGCTATCTAACAAAAGAAAAGCGCATTGGGTCACAAACATGGCGAAAGAGAGAACCCTTCGGGCTTGCAAAGATTCCAAGCTACATGCAACAGTCCGGCCTGTACAGTGTTTCAGAAAACGCAGGCAGCCAGGTGGACTGTCAAGGTATCGGACGGCTGAACATTACGACCGTGCTCGAGGAACGAGAGCACCATCTCGAGCGGATTGTTTCTTGGCGACTTAGACTATGTTCTCAACCTGGGGGCGAAGAGCGCCAATATTGTTATCTAAACAAAAACCTATTAAAAAACTCCCGTTCTGCGAGTAAATATACCACCTTGAAATACCCACGGTGGTTAGGCAAGATATCCAGGCCAGTTTTGAGCAGCGGTAGAAACCAAAAGACGTGCATATGAGAAGCAATACCACAGGCCCGAAACACATAACTACCTTGAGGATGGCATAGACACCCGGTGAACTTATAAGTGCCAAGTGGAGCCACCAAATGGTGGTGTTTTCTCTGCAAAGACACAGTCTCGCCGGGTCCTAAGTACGCAACACTCCCTACTGGCCGCCATGTATACAAACGTAGAAAGGGAAACAGAGGAGGTGATTTATGTGTGATCCTTCAGTCCTGTATTTCGGGGTCAAGGAAATCACGATCGAGGTCCTTGGAGCATATTAACGTCAGTGGTCTTGAGCAATCAACAAAGGGAACGGACGATATTCCCTTTTATAATCGCGGTTTTGTGCGTTATGGTCTGCTTAGAAGGTGCTTTCACGAGACGTGCTGCAACTTCTGTATCTCACCAACAACTTGTTCGTCCTACGGATTAGGTTGGCACGCAATCCGCTTATGACGATATAGGCAGCACGCTTACAAGGACTATGGCCATATGTAGTGCACTCCACACATTGATATCACACATATTTGAGGCGGCCTTTACACATAATGTCTAGAGGATTGCCAAGTGAGGCAGATAGTATGTTCACTTGTAAAAAGCCAACGCAGAAACCAGTGTGAGTGGGCAGATATAAATAAGATAGTTACGGCCTGCAGTGATAAAATTATAGGAGTGAGTTGAATAAGAACCGCATAAATACAACCTGCATAAATGAGAAAACACCATGTATACTCCGTGTCTGTGAAGTTCGCCTGCCATCATCCCGAGCTACTCTCCAGAATCATCCAGACCATGTATTTGCCGTAGCCCCGTCACATCCATTAATATTGCGCGCCCGAAAATGATTCCCGAAGCATCAAAGACGAAAGAAGAAATGCCACAACAATACAACAAGGTAGTAATAGACTTGAAAATCAGAAAAAGGCAAAAAGTGGAGTGTCAGACAGTAAACTGAAAAGGACGAGGGCAAGGAATGGACGCAAGTATAAAATACAGGGAAAATGCGCCGGGGAATGGTCAAACAGGGAGTTGCTCTCTCAATGCCGTACCAGATAGCACAAAAAGTGACCAAACCCCCCGTTCCGTCCAACTCGAACAGGATCCCTGGATAATTTGTTTCGCCCACACAGAATGCCTTCCAGTAGGGTGCAGATGAGGCCGCTGCCGCAATAAATATCCGAACTAAGCGCCAGTCGCCAGGCTATGTGATATAAGGGAGTTGAGAGTTGGTGAGATGGAGGCCTACCAGCCAGAAAATAAGAGCTCGAAGGTGGTGCTAAATGTCAGGGAGGTAACAACAAATGCAAGAGATGATAGTCAATAAAAAGGAAGGAGGAAAAAACAAAGGCTCGCCATGTGGTATTGGTACAGTCGTTGATAGCGTACTAGCATAAAAAGGGGTCAAAGGTATTCGTCGTGTAAGTAGACTAAGCGGGGATTACTTCGGGAACATCTGCTCGATTTCCTCGTCACTGAGGAAGATCTCGTGGATTGGCTCTCGCGGCCGGTGGTCCAGAGGAGTGTAGTCGCAGTCGATGTAAGATGGAATGAAGATTTCTAGATGCCCCAAAATCAGTAAATGAACAAGACGGAGAGCCATAAATTTCTACATCCCCCCAACAGCCAAGGACTTACCAGGGTTCCACTCGAAGCCTTGACTGGAGGTCAGGTAGGAGATCTATCAACACCAGTCAGCATGCCATCCGGACCTAGTAGTGGTCTTCTCGACCTCGCCGTGCAACTTACCAATCTCTGGGGGCCGTCCGGATCGCCAATGTTGATGACACGTGCTTCCTCTTGTGCAATGGCAGGCCCTAGTTTTAAGTCAGTCATTCTATCCAACGCAAATAAGATAACGGTTGCATAGACATCCTCATGGAGGGGAAATGAGAGAGAGAGCGAGAGAGAGTCAGAAACGTACCGAGAAGGCTTGGTCGGCGTACGTGGCTCATCCGCTGGTTTACCTTCTCCTCAATTCGGGTTGGCGGGACCGGTGGAGCGGGAGGCATGACACCCTTGCCCTTCTTGGACTTGTGGATGCGGGTCGGTGTTGCGGAATACACAGATGATGCTGTTGACGAGGAAGGTGACGAGGAAGAGGCAGAAGACGAGGGCGTCATGGGCAACGACGAAACAGGAGAGCCAAGTGTGGCATCCATCGATCGTAGATGGTGCTGGTGGCGGGGTTGGTTGTCGCTGCGGAGTTTACGGCGGCTGCTTGTCGCAGAGGACGCGGTGGGGATGTTGATTGAGGACGACATGGTCGTAACGAACAACCGCTTGTATCTCGTAGGTTTGTGTTCAACTTGGTTATAGTTCTGGTCGACTCGGAGAAGTTTGTCGAGAAAATGTGTAGAGTTCGCTGTGCGACCGTCCAAGTAGGTCGAATTAGGAGTTTGGGCAACTTGGGAGTGTGCTCGAATCAAGCTAAGTCGGGACTGGTCGGGATGACTGGTTTCGTGTTGCGAATGACTGTTCGCTCGATTTGGTGCAATAGGTGTCGGAAACAAAGACCAACGGGGTCATGGAGTGGAGAGGAAGGGTTTCGAGGGGAGGTGGCGACAGAGGGTTCTGAAAAGGCGAGATAGGAAGCCAGCGGTAGATCAGGCGTGTAGGTCCCTTAGATAAGGCGCGGAGAAAGCTAAACCGAGTCGAGTAAGAAGAAGAACAGCGACAGAGAGCGAAAGGCCAGAGGCAATGACCGAACGAGTTAAAGTTGTCCGCACGGTTTTTAAAAGAAAAAAAGCGACGAAGACTATCGGGGGGGAAGAGAACGAGAACGAGGATACCAAGGGCGACGAAAAGAGGAGACGTGAGAAACAGAATCAAGCAGGGTTGACAAAGCACGAGGCAGAGGGCCGCAAGTGAGGAGTACCGGCGAGCCAAAGGGAGCGGCGAAACGAGAGCAACGAATCCGGTAAAACAGCACGACTGTTTCGACGAGGCTTATCCCAGGGAAGGGGGCCACGAGGCGGCTGCAGACGGAAACAGGGAGCTAGCTTGTGACAGAGTGTGCACGAGGAACGATGAACAGACGGAGAGAGGGATGAAGGGAAAAGACGAAGTGGCGAGAGAGACGAAAATAAGTAAGAAGAGAAAAGAGCAGATGGACACCCGTTGGAACCGTGGGAACATGTAAGGGAATGAGGCCACCCTCATTCATCGCTCTTTCTATGGTGTCCTGCCTCTGCCTCCTGCCTCCTGCCTTGCTCCTGCCTATCCGCACGGCGTCCAAATGCAGTATCTGCTTCTCTCCTTCCCTGCCTGTCAGATACAACTCCCGCACAGTGTACAAGGACGGTCTCCGTAATCCGCCCTGGAAATGCGGTCATGGCTGAGCCTGGCCCCTCTGCCAACTGCGTACCCCACACCCCATCCGTACAGTAAAAGTGGGCACATAAACTACTTAATGAGGCTGCCCACACACGACCCAAACATGATAAAGCCAAGGAGTCGTGCAAGGCGGCCCAGGGCGTGTGGTTGTTGTCGAGCTGGGCAGCATTAAGCAACAGTGACTGTACCGTTTCGCGGTTCCCTTGCATCCTGCCTTTCGCTTTTTGACAAGTAGAGCTCTACATTGCACTTGACCACTGTAGTGTGCATACAGCTATATCACGGCTTGTCGATTTCGTTGTTGCCGAGGAGCGACCCAGGCGGAGCTGCACCGCTTCGTCCTACGTCCATACGTCTAGACGTTCACCGTTCAACTCTGCAGGTTGTTGTTTCCTTTTCTTGCCCATGCTCATTCGTCCCAACAAATGAGGAAAGAGCGATGCGTCTGGCGAGCATCTGACCCTAGTTGGCGTGAATCACACCGGCAAATCAAATACGCCCCACTCTTCCATCTCCACCCTCCTGGACCGCTTTTACATTCTTGCCAGAAGAGGAAAAGACAAGTGAAAGCTCATGAGATGATGGCTAGTTGGCCAATGTTTACGTCGTACCGTTCAAAAATGACCTCTTTGAGAAAATATTAATAAAAAAAAGTAAAAACAGAAAATGGTTGATGTTCGTGTCGCATTATCTCGTACGGGTGCAAGGCCGGCAACGGGAAACTGCGTCCCACGTCATCGTGCCCCTGCATTCTTGTCCAATCGTTCCTTCCCACGGCAGCCTATTGGAGGCTACCAGCACAGCTCAAGCGCCATTCGCAGCTCTGTTCCGTTTATCACCCAAAGGTGGCAGGCGCTCATCTTCGTTTCTGTTTTTGGTTGTGAGTAGTGGACCCTGGTCGGCGTCTGTCTCCGCCGTTTAGCGAAATCTACACAGTGCATCTGCGGAAACGATGCAGGCGGTATGTGTTTCTCCTCGTCTGCCAGTTGTCCGGCGACATCGCTTTAGTCGTAAGTCACATAGTTAAGAACTTTTTGAGAAGAAAGGGTACAGAGCGTCACTGCCTTTTTTGTACATCTTGTGCCCCATGATGATAACTAGATGATAACTAGAGGATAAAATTGGTATGGAATGAAAACCAGCAAATGCAAACAACACCACATGCAATGTCCTGGTGGATTTGTTACTTTGTTGAAAGTAGAAAAGGAGGAAAGAGGAAATCAACTTTCGTCGCTGTTGAAAGTCATAACAAATACGTCGGAAAAAAAATGCATAGATGGGGAAAGGCCTCCAATTCCCATGGTCCCTGTCCCAATATCTTTTTTGAAAATTCCATTTTGTTGAAATTCACCCAAAGTATGAAAACGAAAACCCGCGCTATTGTTGAAGAGATCGAAAAGTACCAGCAATGGCCTTCTCGTCCCGGATATATCCTTCTCCCTCCACCAACTCGCCCCCCTTATGTGACCGCTGACAAAAACGCTTAGATGCCAGCATCGACGCGCCAGCCCTCAACGGGCAGGGGGAAGCCGCTCGACCAAGCAGCAATCTCCTTCTTGAGAGCGTTGATCTTCTCGACCTCGCCGCTGGCGACCTTGACCTTGAAGTCCTTGAGCTTGTTGGCCTCCTTGGGGAGGGCAGCCTGGACCTCCTTGCAGATCTTGACGGCCTGGTCAATGTAGTTGGCGACGCGCTCGAAATCAGCCGTGCCGAAGCCACGGCTGGTCATGGCCGGAGTGCCGATGCGGATACCGCAGGGGGTCAGGGCGCTCTTGTCGCCGGGAATGCTGTTTTTGTTGCAGGCAATGTTGATCTGCTCAAGGACGGCCTCAACACGGGCGCCGTCTAGAGAGAACTGGCGCAGGTCCAGCAGGACCATGTGCGAGTCAGTGCCGTCCGACACCAGCTTATGGCCAAGCTTCTTGAAGGTGACCTCCAGAGCCTTGGCGTTGTCCACAACCTGCTGTTGGTAGGCCTTGAAGTCGGGTGACGCAGCCTGCTTCAGGGCAACGGTCAGAGCTGTGATGGTGTGGTTGTGCGGGCCACCCTGGTGGCCGGGGAACACAGAGAAGTTGATGGGGTTCTCCAGGTCGTAGAGCGTCTGCTTGCCCTTGGCATCGACCGAGCGGACGCCCTTGCGGAAGAAGATCATGGCACCGCGGGGACCACGAAGCGACTTGTGGGTGGTGGTGGTGACGACGTCGGCGTACTCAAAGGGCGAGGGGATAACGCCAGCAGCGATCAGACCCGAGATGTGGGCCATGTCGACAACCAGGTAGGCACCAACGGAGTCGGCAATCTTGCGCATGCGAGCGTAGTCAATCAGGCGGCAGTAGGCAGAGGTGCCGGCAACAAGGATCTTGGGCCGGAACAGCTGGGCATTCTTCTCCAGGGTGTCGTAGTCGATGATGCCGGTCTCAATGTCGACGCGGTACGGCATGGTCTCGAAGTAGGTGGAGACAGCCGAGATCTTCTTTTGGGGGGTCTGGTAGCCGTGGCTCAGATGGCCGCCGTGGGGCAGGTCGAGGCCCATGAGGCGGCCGTGGACGGGCATGAGGGCCTGGTACACCTGCAGGTTGGCAGGGCTGCCACTGAGGCACTGGACGTTGACGCCCCACTTCTCGCTATCAAGGTGGAAGGCCTCAAGAGCGCGCTTCTGGCACAACAGCTCCACCTCGTCGATATGTTGGTTGCCACCGTAGTAGCGGGCACCGGGGAGACCCTCGGAGTACTTGTTGGACATGGGCGAGCCAAGGGCATCGAAGACGGCGCGCGAGGTGACGTTCTCCGAGGCGATCAGAATGATGGACTCGCGCTGGCGCTGGATCTCACGCTTCTGCAAGGGAGGGTCAGCAAGTTGGCCGAGACCAACGAACATGCGTGCCAGGCGCCACGGGGGAGAGCAAAACGTACCATGATCTCAGCGACCTCAGGGTCGGTCTCGAGAAGAGACTTCTCGAGCATCTGTAACCATTGTTAGCATACCAGCGTCAACGCTCATATAGCAAGTGGAAGAGTGCCTGGAGCTCTCGTCACTGAGCAATGGCCGACTCACCTCCTTGTGAGACTGCGGGAGGGCGTAGGTAGACATGGCGATAGGTGACGTGTGTAGAATTGCGAGGGGATATAGAGAGAAAATGAAGCTGGTGATGCAATGATGCAAATTGGCAGATGGAGGAGGACAATGATCTTCGGAGGGCAAAATCTGGGGGCGAAAACGAAGAGAAGACAAAGAGAACGGGGGAGAGCGAGAGAAAGAAACTATGTATGAGCGAAAACCCGGACGGCCAGGAAAAAATTGCGTTGAACTAATAAGAGTCAATGGCTCGCTCGTAGGCGCAAGACCAAAAAACGAATGACTGAAAAAAGTTATGGTGGGGGAGCTCAGATTTCGGAGTCGGCCCAATCAGCTTGTCGCTCCTGCCACCTCCACCACCCACCGTGACGGTTCCAGGCGCATTAGAAGGTGGGATGATGGTTGTGGCCAGTGGTCGATGACACGCTAAGAGCGCTATCGCTGATCAGGCCTAGACCCTGACATTGTCCATTTGCAGCCTGTGGTGCGAATTTTGCACGTGATTATTGTCACGTGCACTGTGGGTCCGACTGGCCGGGGGGAAGCTCAGGCTGACAACCTGCCGCGTCGGTTTGCGAAGCGTAAACTTGCGCCAGCCATTTCCACCGGCTTCTCCCCTTCCACGCATTCTCGCCATCAGCACAACACACACTCCGACCACGATATCATCCGCGACGAACGCAATCTCAATCTATCACGAACCGCATTACTTTGTTTGGGCATCTAGCGACTATTCGTCTCCGACTTTCCTGAGATTCAGGACACTCGGCCCTCGCCACTTGCTCACAAAGCAGTGACGCTCGACTTGTTGTTTTCGTCTACCCTCACCACACCCGCAATCCTCCCGTCCTTTCATCACCATCCACTTCGTTGACCACCATGGGCGACACCCTAATTGAGGCGCCTCTGGGCAGCCACGCGGCACCGCACAAGAAGACGGCCCCGTCAGCATTACCGGGCTTGGGCAACTTCGAAGGCGCCGCCGTCGAGGGCGGCGACGAGTATGGGACGCTGAAGAAGCTGCAGGGACAGCTTGAGTACATCCAGCTGCAGGAGGAATACATCAAGGATGAGCAGAGGTAGGTGCACCGTAACGGAGAAAGCCCGTCCCAGGTCCGATGGACGCGACTACGCCATTGCTAACACACGATTCACCCCCCTCGCTGCAGAAGCCTCAAGCGCGAACTTGTCCGCGCACAAGAGGAGATCAAGCGCATCCAGAGCGTGCCGCTTGTCATCGGCCAGTTCATGGAGGCTATCGACCAAAACACTGGCATCGTGCAATCGTCGACCGGCTCCAACTATGTCGTCCGCATCCTGTCCACCCTCGACCGCGAACTGCTTAAGCCCTCCTCGTCCGTCGCGCTACACCGGCACTCGAATGCCCTTGTTGACATCCTGCCACCCGAGGCCGACTCCTCCATCGCCATGCTGGGCTCAGACGAGAAACCCGATGTGACGTACGCCGACGTTGGCGGTCTAGACATGCAGAAGCAGGAGATCCGCGAAGCCGTCGAGCTGCCCCTCACCCACTTCGACCTTTACAAACAGATCGGTATCGACCCGCCGCGCGGTGTGCTTCTGTACGGTCCTCCTGGTACGGGCAAGACTATGCTGGTCAAGGCCGTGGCCAACTCGACCACGGCCAACTTCATCCGTGTCGTCGGCTCCGAGTTTGTCCAGAAGTATCTGGGTGAAGGGCCCCGCATGGTGCGCGATGTCTTCCGCATGGCGCGTGAGAATGCCCCTGCCATCATTTTCATTGACGAAATCGATGCTATTGCCACGAAGCGTTTCGATGCGCAGACCGGTGCCGATCGTGAGGTGCAGCGTATCCTGCTGGAGCTGCTGAACCAGATGGACGGCTTCGACCAGACGGCCAACGTCAAGGTCATCATGGCGACGAACCGTGCCGACACACTGGATCCTGCCCTGCTGCGGCCCGGTCGTCTCGATCGCAAAATCGAGTTCCCCTCGCTGCGCGACCGTCGGGAGCGCCGTCTCATTTTCTCCACAATTGCATCCAAGATGAGCCTGGCACCGGAGGTCGACCTGGATAGCCTGATTGTGCGCAACGATCCCCTGTCGGGTGCTGTCATTGCGGCGATCATGCAGGAGGCGGGCCTGCGGGCAGTACGCAAGAACCGATACAACATTATCCAAGTGGATCTGGAGGACGCCTACTCTAGCCAGGTGAAGACCACGAGCGATGAGAACAAGTTTGATTTCTACAAATAGACGCACTTTTTTTTCCATGTGGGTGGTTGTGGAACGGGAGAAGCGGCATTCATCGATAATGGGATTCGGGGCGGAGCTTGTCTATCAGGTTTGGAGTATATGGACATATTTTCGCAAGGGCATTGATGTAAAAATCCAAACGAAGCACCCCCTCTTGTACACTATTTTGACTTCCCTATGTCTCTTTTCACAATGCGAAGCATTTAGCAATACCGCGCTCAAATAATCGTAACATATGGCCTGAATTATTTCACGGCCGACACCTGAATACATCTTCTATGAGACCCGTTTTCTAGCGTTGTTATTTTCCATATGATTTGTTCTTTAGTGAAGACGCAATACTTGTAGTGGGAGATAAATATTAAATGTCTTTTTCCTTTTACCAGTTTATTTTTATTTCCCTTTTTTTTTAAAAAAAAATGGAAATAACCAGTATATAAAACTGTTTTTCTACCAGGCACGCTATTAAAATAACCAGTTGTAGTTGTCGTAGCCGCGTTTCTTTATACGAAGTTTATGTATTACGGCGAATTGAAACGACAGAACAAGACGCGAGGCAGAAATGACGGGACCACCTTTCCATAGTTCAGTACGTCGAGAAGCATTTGTTATTTATCGACGTAAAGTTACAAAACGTGAAACCAAACACAGGGTATATCCATCTCCTAAGTATCCCTTTCTCTATCTGTCCCGTGTAACAGAACAAAAAACCAATCTATATAACACAAAAATGTGGCCCCTTGGTTTCCATTGCTGTTTCCATGTCGCATAAATGCAGACGCTGTAGTGTTTCTAAAAAATGCTCCACAAAAGGCATCAAAAAATCTAAATAGTCATCATCGTAGAGAAGTTCGCGGCAAACATCCCCATCCAATGTATCCCGTCTTTCCAAGTCCAGTGTTATCGCCAACACATTAAAATATAGTCCTAATATGAACGGCCATATGAAGGCAAGGTGCTGTTGGGTGGCAGAGATGAGGATTTGGGGGATGAAGACATGTCGAAAACAAAAGGTGCGTGAATTGTATAGGGCCAACGTGGCCCCCGTCGTGTGATACCGGGCCTGCCGATTCAGGGACCGTTGTTGATATGAGAAGTAAAGTTGAATAAAATATTAAAAAGAAGTAGTAAATCGATTGCAGTGAGGGGTAGAGGCTCCTGGCTCTCTCACTGGTTCAGAGCCACGCCCAACTCCAGAAGGAGACGCACAAAGCGTGCGTGCAGCTCGATAAAGAAGTCAGGCATACCTAAAATCTCAGGAAGTCCACGAGCACGCACCGACGCCGCAGTCGAGCTGCCGAGGCCGCCATAGCCTGCAAAGCCAGGGCCCATACGGCGCGATAGGCCATTGCCAGCAGCGACAAGGAAGCTACTGCCGCTGTCGTTAGCGACCGACGATGGCTGCGTGGGTGGCGGGGACACGTGCGGCGAGCGATCGAAACCGAAAGCTGGATTTGTGTTTGCCAACGGACTGCTGTCGCCCGAGGGCGAAGACGTGGCCGGCGACTCATTGTGCGGCGCAACACGCTCTGCCTCCGCATCGGCCAGGAGCTGGATCCAGGTGGCCAAGTCGTTGAAGGCAGCCGAGACGAAGCCAAAAGCCTTCATAGCCGTGCGCTCGCGGTGTGTGTTGAGCGCGATGAGCGCATACATACGCTTATGGCCGCGAGCGTGCACGTCGGCTACACGGAACACATGTGCAGTCGTGTAGCCGGTCTCCGAGTCGCCGAAGAACAAGGGGCCACCATTAGCAGCTGCTGCAGCTGTAGCCGACGCGCTGGCGGCGCTGTGGGGATTAGAGGTAAAGTAGGATGTGGCCCCTAGCGGCAGAGGGGTTGTAGGTTGCGACGTGGTCGCAAACATATTACCGCTAGCTGGCATGGCTGATGACGCTGGGCTGCGTGGGAGCGTCTCCAAGGTGAGTGTGCGCAGGCACGAAGCGCGGATGTTGCCAAAGGCTTTGGCCGACACAGGCTCATGCGTCGACGTGTAGTTCATGTAGTGGGTATGGCTGCTCATTAGGTGAGATGCCGACGATGACGTGCTGGAGCGTGATGTCCCTACGGACGTCATGGTACCCGTACGGCGGTGGTGGTTGCGACGGAGTTGTGATGATTGCCGTTCATCGCCCTCGGCGTCGGACGACGTCGACGATGACGCAGAGGATGAGGAAGGATGAAGGAGGCGGGGCGAAGCATCATCTGGTGCACCGTCATACACGCGCGCGCAAGGGACACGCGTCCGCAGCGTAGGATTACGAGCATCCGTGTTACTGCCGCCAGGCGCATTGGTGCTACCGCCGCCATTGGGGTTTCTTGTTCCCGTGTTGCTACCTGAGTTGATGCCGCCGGGAAGTGTCATGGCGCAGTTGTCACAAGGGATCGCGCGCTTTGTGACCGACTCATCGTAGGTTTTGCGAAAGTTGCTCGTCGCGGGATCTACTCGTGCTTTTGGAGACGATACTGGCTGGGCCTGCGCCGGTTTCTGCAGGTCTTTTGGTGATGCCGAGGAGCGAGGAGAGCGGTGCGAAGCACTTGCTGTATCGGGATGCGAGCGTGGTGTCGAGATATCCGCAGGTGACGGTGGCCGGTCTTCGCTGTCAGGTAGACTGCGCAGTGACGGCTGGACAAGGCTCATCTTACGGAGTGCGCCAGCAACTGCGACGGTCGCTGCTGTGGCGGCGGCGTGAGGTGTAGATGAGGAGGAAGGCGAGGATGTGATGGAGGATACCGCTGAGGCGACAGCGGACTTGATATCGGGTGCGTCATGGTTGTCGCAAGAGCTGCACTTTACGGGCAGGCCCTCTGTCACCATTAGCGGCGTAGGGCCGTGCACCTCGCAAAAATGCGCGAGACATAGCTGGAAATTTGATATTAGCATCGTGGCGACGGTTTTGCGTTTGGTCTCGGAACTGAATGCCCAATGTTGGTGAAGGAAGTGCAAGTCGTGCGCATTTTTGTCATCTTCAGAAGCTGAGCTCAGACGAGACGATGGGCGGAATGGGAGACGAGGAGCAAAGGGGAGTAAGTGTGGCAAATATACAAGACGACGACCAAAGGTCAAACAATAAGAAGGGGTGTGTTGTGAAAAGGAAAGGGGTGAGCGGGAAGGTCTAGAAGGAGGGAAGGAGGTAATAAAACGGGAGGCGAAAGCATGGAGGGAAGAACGCCGCCGGGACGAACGGGAAAAGTATTACGGTGCCAATAGGAGCAAATAAGCTTTTCTGGTCTCTGGTATTGTTCTTGCCACAACTTTTCGAGGCGGAATCAGATGACCGCATCGAGCAACAAGAGCCACGGAACCGAGGAAACGAAGCCAACCGCAAGACAGAAGAGAGATGCACATGCAGGCCCAGAAATAAGCATGAGGGGTACGAAGGATGAGAAACGAAGGACGGGTACGATAAGAGAGGCAAACGAAAGGGGTGTTCAAGTGTTTCTGGTGCAACAACGCCACAAAATTGGGAGTTTCAACTATGAAGAAAGGGCGGAAAAGTATGATCAACGGATCCGTCCGCTTTCAACAACACAAACGAAGCCCTGATAAGATTGGATACAAGACATATGATGACCAACCCATAAAGGCAAACGACAAACTAGCTGAGAGGAAAGAAGGCGTGCGCAACGCTAGCTCTGGTGGTCGACCCTGTCAAAACCAAAGCCTGGGCAGGACCATGTGGGACAACGTGGTGTATTGCGAGGATGTGTCTCGGCGTCATGAATCGTGGGACGTGGGGGGATACAAAGTAGGATGCAAAAAGGGGAACCTGGGTGAGGGGAGAGGGGCGATTGTGAGATGTCTGCTGGAGATTCTCGAAATGAACCTGAGGGTGGGGGTCAAGCCAAATCGCCAAGCAGGAAGGACGAATGTGTTTGTTGTGCATCGTTGGCTGTGCGCAGAGAGCCAAACAAGAGCAAACGACATCACAAAAGAAAACTAGGCAAACAAAGCGAAGAGTCGGCGACGGGAACAGATGTGACGAATGACGGAGTCACAGTGTTGGTCTCAGTTGCGTATCACCCTGCTTGCAATTTATGGTTGTATCACCGGGGGACAGGTGTGAACGACGAGAGATGCGAGCTCTGCTGGCTGCTCGCCCGTGCTGTTGTGGCTTGCACTCTGCCGTTTGTATTGTCGCTGCTTATTTGGTGGCGCTGTTGGGCAGGTCGGCTCTCGCTCGCTCGGTGTGCCTATTTCGCGTGTCGCTCAGTGGCGCGATGTGTGTCATGGGGCACCGTGCGTGCTTGCTCCAATTGCTGTGTGTTGCCGTTGGACGAACGAGACGTGCAGAGAGTGCATGAGGCGCAGATGCAAGGTGCATGTTGGTGTGCTGTGTATATGCGAGTTGGTTGGCAGTTTGGGCATTTGCGTGTGAGTGATTGTGGGTTGGTGGATGCATGTGCGAGTGTCATGGGTGACTTTTTCGGACGAGGCGGTGAGCCAGGCGAGAGAACAGCAAACGAGAGCCCCAGACGGCGAGCGGATGAGATATGGCGGAGGCCGTAGCAAACGATGATTCCGTGTCGCGATGGCCGGCTGTCGTGGGGGTAGACTCAGAGGCCAGGTTGGTCTTTGTGTGCACGCAGGCAAGACATGACAAAGGGACGAACCAGCACGTGTCTGGACAGAGGCGCCAACCAGGAGCCGTCAAAGGTACGGAGTACAGCGAAACGCAAGAAGATAGAAAAGAGAGTGCAGGGTGTGCGAGTGTGCGACTCAAAAGAAAAAAAGGAGAGAAAACGTGGGCAAAGGATACAGAGAACCAAGGGTGATATAGCAGAGCAAAGCGACAACGAAACAGCAAAACGAGAACAAAGCACCAAAGATAGACGAGGAAGGGCAACACGAGGGCATCTTGGTCCAAAAGCGAGCGGAAGGTGAAGATGCGCGTGGGATGCATGCTGCAAGTCAACTTACAATCGACGTCATGGCTGGCCGAGACGCCACTGGTGGCTATCTTATCGGCTGCAGCCCACGATGATCGTGCAGGTCGGTCAGGCCGGGGGGCGTTTTGTCGTTGAATCTGGTGCTGTGGTGGCGGCCGTTGAAGAAAACGTGGAAAACAAAGGAGAGATGAGGGCGTCGAGATCGTGGGGGTTTCGAGCAATGGTCCGAATTGGGGGGGGGGACGATAGAGGGCAACGCTGTTACGAAAACGAGCGATTGGCGAGGAAGGAGCAACAGGCAGGGAGGCGTGCGACGTAGAAGTAGTTCAATTCATGTCCACAGAGGAAGGAACGCGTTGCTTGAGATATTTGATCAGACGAGGAAAGAACGAATGTCCGTCCTTGGAGCTGGTTTCGGCCTCGGGTCTCGTCGGCGAATGCCACCCCAGGCCGTTTTCCTTTCGGTCCGGGATGCTTCTTTGTCGTCGCAAATATGGCCAGTCTACTCCGTACTACGTACGCACTCGCTCGTATCGTATTAGTGCGCGGTGGTTGTGCTGCAGGCTGGTTGGGGTCGTGGTGTGGTGGTGGTGGGCAGCAGCGTGTGATTACTTTCTGATTTGGCTCAGAGGGCTCCGGCCAACGGGGAAGCGACGGGCGAGAATCGAAATGGCGCCAGGGGTGCTGCTGCGACGAAATGAAGTGGGCGAGGAGGAAAGCGAAAGCGAGACAGCATGTCCGACATCGAAGGGAGGCGTGGGAGGCGTTATGTATGTCGAAGGAAGGAGGTAAAGGGACGAACAGGACAAAGAAGAGCGTTCAGGTCAAAGTGGAAGGAGCGGTCGGGAGGTGAACGCTGGACGGTGTCTCGTATATCTTGCGGTCGCACGGAGGGGCAAAAACGGCAGGAGGACGAAAAACAGAAGTAGAAGAAGGTGGTTGCAGCCAGTCGGGACAGAAAAGAAGAATACGAAAGAAGGAAAGAACGACCCGGGGAAGAGACAGTGGCTCCTTCCGTGGCGCGAGCGACGCAAGGAAACCAAGGTCAAGAGCAGCAACGAACCAAGGCCGCGGATGGAAGCAGGAGCGTCCCGGCGTAAGGAGGTGTGCGCATGTGCTGGGGTGTGGCAGCTCTAGTGCCTCGGTGGAGAGCGTGTGGGATGGATGGGAATATCCAAAACACGGAAAGAAGGCAAGGGAGGGGACGAGCTGGCGAGACACGAGATGAAAATGCCAGACGGTGTGAACAAGAACTCATGTGCTCCAGGCCATTCTGTCCATCTTTATTCTCTCCTTTTGTCCCGTCCTCAATTCAACAGGATCGGCTTCCTTTTCGCCTCACCCTTTGGTCTCCAAAAATCGGGCAGGGCGGGGTCGTTCTTCTGCATTCGCGACAAGCCAAAACGCACTGTGATGGCCAGGCCCCAGAGACGAGACGGAGGCGGCCAGGCCAGACCAGGACGAGCTAGGCCCGGTGTCTTAGCGATTTATTAACAAAGAACCAGTTATGATAGGGCGACGACCTCTGGGATCCTAAGTCGCATCTGATGGTCAGACCATGATGAGCAGCCGTCTTAGTGTGCGCCTTTGCCTCTTGTGCCCTCAATTCTCTTTTTGGCCCTCCAAGTGTGGTCCACTTCTTTGGCCGCCTTGCTCATTCATGTGCCGCGATATTCCCGCACTGACGTTCTCTCCTGATAACCGCCAGACGCCCCTCTACAAAAGACTCTGACAGACACAGACACCGTGCTCCTGAGAGGTTCCAGGTCAGTGGCGTAGGCCCCGATCGGCTGGTAACGAGTAATACTCCGTACCGATGACGAACGGGGGTATGGGGGTAGTAGACAAATGGGGCAAACCTATCTTGGGCAATGTCGTCAAGGAAAAGGAGCAGAAAACTGGGTTCTCAAAACGACAAGTCGACAGACATAATGCGTGGGGCTATTGCACCTTGTTATGCCCAAGCTGCAGCAACGCTGGAGGCAATCAAACCGCACAGGGCCGAAAGTGGATATGTCCCATATTTCCCACGGCCATATCATGTTAGCGTACGCCGTTGTGAAGCGACGGAGAACGGAGAGCCAATCCCTCGTCTGTCACAATGGGAACAGTTCGCAAGGGAGTCCTTAGAGGCGCCGGAAGAAACTGTCAAGAAGGACGATAGCAGCTGAGGAAACAACTACGTTGCACTCTAGAGTTTGAAGGCATTTGGACTTTTGGAAGTGGTATCATTTGACAAGACAAGAACCGCCAATGCGCAGCCAAAGCTTACAAAGCCTCGAAAGGAGCGCCAACCAAAAGGAACCAACCAGCCGGGCAAAGCCAGCCAGGGCCAGGAACCGAGCCAAGCCAACAGAGCGTTAGCGTACGGCAGCCCGGTTGTTGGTGGCGGGCTTTTTCTGGGTTTGTCATGATTCTTGCAGTGTCACGACTTACGACGTTGTATGTTGTTGTTGCCATTTGGAAAGGCGCTAGAAGCAGAAAGGAAAGCAGAACGTGGATTGGGAATGTACAACCAAACGCTATTACATACAAGTATGGACCCGTTTTGGGATGCAGCTCCTGCGCGAGAATGAAAATGCGGCACAACGAACCAAAATAAAATAAAATAAAATAAAATAAAATAAAATAAAAATAAAATAAAATCGCGTGGTGGTCGAAGGAAAGGAGCTGGAAGAGCTTGAAGACACATGGCAAAATACCGAGTGGTTACTCCGTAAATCGAGGATTGGACCCTGCATGCTGACGTATTGGTCGGGTAGTGTAAACACCCGGCAAATGGTGCTCCGACTGAGGACGTCTTCCGGTGTCGGTGCAGTCGACCAGCAACGAACAGAAAGCAACAATACAAGAGAAGCAGTTGGGAAGATCCGTATACAATACTCCGTACGACATACCAAAGAAGATCTTTGAAATGACTCGGTGTTTCGAGAAAACGCATGCGTGACACAGTAGCGAGTCTAGACGGTAGATACCAGGGTCTCGAATCTCCAGTGGAAATGGCCGGGCTTGGTGGGCGTGAAGTACTTTCGTACACATTTGGATGGGGCCAGCTGAACGGACCCTGAAAAACAGGGTGGGTCGGGACGAAATAACGAGGCCGTGGAAATCACGAAACATCGGAGAACCCCCGGAAGCCAAGGACCGACAGGCCAAGGGACGAATCGAGGTGACGCGTAACAGATGATATAATGAAATCCATACCTCGCAGAGACCATAACGTTTCGTGGCGCGCGACAATTTGCCAATTGATATGGGACGAGAAGGAACAATTCGGCAGGCAAGAGAAATAAAAACGGAATCGAATACGTGACACATGGTTCCTTGCAGAGACGTGCAGAAAAGGTCAGCTCTATTTCCTAGTAGCTCCGCTCCGTCATACTCTATCGGGAAGGCTTCCAGAAGTTGACTGTTGCACCCTTGGATTGGGCAGGAATAGTTTAGCAGGAGGGGGGGGAGACCAAGAACGGGGGCTGTTGACCAGGCCAGGCCCCTGTCGTTGAAAGGGCCTGTCAGAAGTGGAAAATGCTCGGCGGCACAATTTCGCCGTGCCTCTTAAACAACGTCGTAATATAACGTCGCATTGCCATGTCTTTCCTCGTGGCTTTTTGCTTCTTGGACTTTTCTCACGCACTGAACGGTGCCAGTGTTTTGAAGCCCTGCTCTTTCCGCATGGCCGTGTCACTTCTCATAAAATCAGGGGTGACAGGGGCAAGGAATAGGAACGAATCTGTGTAGTTTCGTATTTGGTGTTGTTGGAGATTTGACTGCTTTCCTTTTTGAGGCGAGGTCGGCGAAAGAAAGGATGAACTCGACTTTTCGGAGACTACGGAGTACGTAAGGTAACAAGCAGGAGCGATGCTGTGTTCGGGAAGGAGCGGGTATATGCGCACGCTTAAAAATAATTGGGTGCGGTGAAGAAGGGAAGGTCCGGCTGACTGCATGTGGTGGCTCTTTCCGCATGCGAGAATTTGTCACCATTGACCTTTCTTCACCGCGTCTGTCGGATCGTTCCTTCTTTCCGAAAGGGAAAGTCAGCGGGAAGAACATCGTGCCTGCCTTCCGACGCCGTGCTAGCATAGGACTTGCCCATAGATGCCGAATATGAATAGTATCTGAGGGAGTACAGATCCTTGAGCACTTTGTCTCGACACACTTTAGGTACACGTTCGACCTTGAGGATATGCACCGTAATTACGTGGCACATAGTAGCACTTGCGTGCGACATGTGTCCTACCCAAGACTATGTTTAGAAATATGGTTCTACACTACGAGGGATGGAAACGAGAACGACAAGCGACAGCACCTCTGACACGCATCGATCGGTGAAATCAGCCTCTTCGGTCGACACTCTGCCACATGCAAGTCACCTCTCGTGGTCCTGGCTTTTGGGGGCCATGGCAAATGCACGGCAAATGTGACGACTTGTGATAGAGTGACCTCGGCGGGTGACAACGGAGCGAACAGGAGGTGACGCCAGCAGCGAGAACACTTCATATTCTGCGCCGTAACGACTTCACAGAGTATTTCCACTTCCCCGTGCAGAGTCAACGTCCTGCGTTGTCCTTGCGCAGTCCCTGTGCCTGTGTCCCACACTGTCGAATGCAACCCTAATCCCGTGTCTTTTTTGGCCTGTGATCGACACACGACACAGATTCGCTCTTCCATGTGACGGGCTACCGTTGCGCAATCAATTATGCAAAGCACACTTGCACCAAGTTTCGTTCTCGCAAGTGAGTCTTTTCTTCTCGACGAATACAGTAGAAGAACTACGGCACTGGCTTGCTGCTTTAATACAGCCTCGTACCAGGGCTTGTATAGTATGCAGAGTGCTCACTGGAGATGCATTCACTCCAAAATTCCCGAGGCTGTTCGCTTTTTGCGTTTCACCAATTCTGCCCAACATTGCTCATTTGCACAGTATTCTGGTTTCGGTTCATCTGACATCACCCACCGGCGCCAAAGAAGACGCCGGTGGGATACTGCTACCAACATTCGCCTGTGTAGGCCCCGGATGGCAGACCGTGTTACCTTTTCTGGGTGGTGATCGGCGTATCGTGCAGGAGTCTCCCTGTATCAAAGTAGGCTCCCCTGCAACATCTAGGCCTCTGAGGCATCATGGCTTGGGAATGACCCTCTGACCTATTACCTGGTCTGTTGCGCCTCCTTTGTCGTTTGTCCACCTGTTCGTCGCATGTCTTCGTTTTGTCTTTCGTCTGCTCCTCTCAAGCTCGCATAATTCATCGCCCTCCTCTTAGGAGGGTGTAACAAGTCCATGCACGGCGAAACGAATAACCGGCATGATTGCGACGAACCTGCATGCCCTTCGCAGACAACATTTCAGAGAGAAATCCACGAGACAAGATGAAAGATGAAATGATTGAAAAATGGCGCTGATCCATTTTAAGCAAGATGATGTCGTTCTGCGTGCTATGTGCCGCAACTATTTCGCGTCGTCCCTCTCCCTGTCCGTGCGCAACGAGGCCACACGCAGCACACGGCATGTGTGTGCATCGTGTGTATTCTATATGTATTTCCTATTTTCGCGATAAGTTGCATATACCTCCTTAGGGTAATCAAAAGGAGAGGAGTGCATTAGACAATACAGCCACGAGACGAAGGCAAAACTGAGTGGACTGATTCGCAAGTTGTGGCCTTGTCCCGCCCTTTCTAGAAAGATGTTTTTTTTGCTTCCAGTCAATTTCTCATAAGACATCTACAACTTCCTGTTCTCAGCTCCGCTTCCTGAACAATGCCATAATAGGGACGGTGAGTATTCAGAGTGGAATATTGTTCCGTACTGTCAGGGTTATTGGGCAATTTGCCGTTTATTTCACTTGTCATATCCTTTGCGTTTCTAATTTCGATAACAAAACGTCTGTATTCCATTTGCATCGTATACTCTCACGGCAGATGATCGAAAAAGTCAAAACGGCTGCATGTAACATTTGTCCCTTTCTGTTCTCTCGAATTACTCCACCCGTCACAAAGGTAAAGCCCAGACTGATACGGCACGGCAATCCACCTTTTGAACTGCGTGCAACTCTACACCGGTGACAATATATTCTCGGAAGTCACTCGGGGCAATACTGGAAGTAGAACGAACCTCGCTGCCCTCTTCGTGTAAGAAAGTAACTTCCCCACACCGGTCTTTTCGGCAGGACTTCCTAAATAGGAACGAATATGTTCCTATTTAGGGACCTTCCTCGGCCATCAAACGCGGGCCGTTCATCTGCCGTACCTTCATGCACAAGGAAAGAACGAACGGGGTAGAGTACAAGTGGGGAAAGAGACTTTAAAGATACTGTGCAGAGACAAGAGCCATAGAACAAACAGTAACCATAACTCGTCCTCACCTTCTCTCGTCCAGATAAAGTTCAGCTTTCTTTGGCTGAACCATGTATTCCAAGCACTTGACACCATGTTCGTCCCATCATTCATGATCTTCTCCCAATTATACTCGCGTTACGTTCATGTCTTTGCGTTCATCCCTTTGCTGTTATCCGCTTCGAGGCTTGTCATCTCATGTTCGCTACCTCTTTATAATCTCTTTTTGTATAGGGTCAGAAGGAGACTACTCGGTGAAAAATGACAAATTTTCATATGCGTGACATTCTGCTAGCATCTAAACTCGGTTCGCTGTGTGAGAATGTATCCGCGAGAGGAGGTGGGGTGAAGGGAGGATTGAATGCAGCGTTGCATTCTCTCGTCACTCTTTGTCCGGATACATATGGTGTACGTTCTCCCATGCGCTCCCGCTCGTGACGGGCCGCCGACCCATAATGGAGGCCACCAATCCTGCTCATCCTTCTAGTTTCTCTTTATTTTCTCGCTCCCGAATACCCCCTCCTCTGACAAGTCCCATTTTAGCATCGCTACTGTCCCGTTTGGAGGCCAATTAAGATGCAAGTAACTACGTCACGGCGCAGGGGGGTTTTGGGGTTTCGAGGGACCGAGAGACTGTAGTGCGAAAGTGAAGTCGAACACGAAAGCAAATCACGGCACGGCTCGGGTCTGGTACTCGAATGCTCCAGGAACACGGCAGACATATACAGGATGCCATGACTCACTGTGTGTACGCATGGGCTTATTGAGAGCTGGGGAAAATTCTCCGCTGGTTAAAAAGGACGACGACGAGACGACCTTACCGACTACTCTGAAACCCTCCTGG